TATTCATGGAATAATCATAAATCAATCCGGTTGCTTGATTTACATCAAGTCTAAGAATGGCTGTGAACTGAGTGAGGACTGAAATAAACACGCCCCACTTATATAGAGATGCAAGATAGAGTAGCTCAAATTCAGCATAGAGAAAACAGATTTTCTCTTTTATAGAAATGAACCGAAATCTATCTGTGGACTTTAAAAATGCTACCATACGACTCTTCAGGTCAAACAGACGCCTCGCTTGCAGCAAAATTTTTGGGGGCAGGCGACTTGAAGTTATCAATCCTTTAAATTCCATATTTAAACTAGAATTTCAAAAATTTCATGCAAGGAATAGCAACAAAACTTTTTCTTTTGAATAAATTTGTAGACACAAAATAAGGCGAGAAAAAAAATAAGGAGAGAGAAAAAAAAAAAATTGCGGTTTTATTTATTTTTTGAGTTTCAAATTCCTTAAGAAATATAAAAAATATCCTAGAAGATTGAAAATACAAAAGAAAATAAAGGAAGAAAATTTTTTGTGGGATAATAAATGGTTTACCGAAATTTAACTCTTTAATTTTTCTTCTTCTTTGTAAAAACAAAAAAAAAAGTGTATGCCTAAATTCTTTGTTCCCGTATTTTATTTAATACTTTTCAAAGTTTTGTATTTCTTTTCACTCTTAGATTTATTGTTTTAATTATATAAATATTGAATAATTGTAGTCTTTTCCACTTAAATATATATCTCCAATGAAAAATTAAGGAAACCACTTTATGTTTCCTCTCATATACAATAAAAGTTTTTTACTCTCTTTAATGTCTGTAGCAAAAAAAAAATAGTATTTAAAAGTTTAAGGAATAGAAAAAGAAACTCATTAAATACTCATAAAATACTTTTATAAACAATTTGTGGAAGAGTTTTTCAATTTTAACACAGTTGTGAAGGCACCCAGAAATATTTGTGATAGTATAGGAAAACTAATTACTAATGCTCATTGGTGTGCTATCATTGAACTCAGGAGAATTAAAACTACGCATACCGCTCATCAAATACTAATCAAATAGTAGATTTAAAGAGATGGTGCTGTATTTTATTCTCTTTCTAATTTTAATTTAATAATAATACTCTTAATAAAACATTTGAGTTAAATTAAAATTAAATTTCATTCACACTAATACTAGCATCGCTCAAGGCTCAAAATTGCTCAATTTCATTCACACTGATACTGGCATTGATTTGCTCGAGGCTCAATAAACAATATATCAAATTTTTCATATAAATTATAAAAATACCAAAATTTTTTCATATTTTCATAAAAAAAAATTTTGAATTTAATATTGCAATTTAAAAAAATTATTGATTTATTTGTAAACACTTTATGGGAATCGTTTTATCTGTGAACCCAAATATTTTATATTGATATATTTTATTTTGGAAAAAAGCAAAAACAATTTCAATTTAAAATATTAAAATATAAAGGGTTCAATGAATTTCATTTGATCAATGAGTAACATATTTTTCAAAGCATACTCCGTTAAAATAACTCGGAAGAATTTAAGTTTGTTGAACTTATGTAGGTTCTGTGAACTCAGTTGCATAAGATGATAATGCTAAAATTTTTTATCTATATTATAACAGTAAAAAGCTCGTTAAATTTTAAACCATAAAAAATGCTTTAAGTGTAAGTGTAAACAGATGCCGGGTGTCCGGTCTGCCACCCAAAAAGTTGTCCCTTTTTAACAATAAAATGTTTTAGTTGTTTCTAGAACTTTTTAAGCTGCTTTTAAAAATCTTTATTCACGTTTATCACAGATCACAGATTAGATTAACGTGGTTAACAAAAAAAATATCTTAGGCCACGTAGGGCCGTTGTAATATCGCTGAATCTCCCTATACCTACCCTCACTTGAATTCGGCTGTGACCCAGAACGCAAATAAAATCAATTCCGAACAATTGCGTCTTATTTAAAATCTCGTTGAGAAATGGCTTGCAATGTTAGATCGTTCCAGAAATAGACGTCTCTGCCTCAAACTGCCTGTTGATGCCTGACTGTTTGTGAAAATGGAGATACACCTACATAATATAACATTCCAGACACCCATTTCAAAACCTCTTGTATTGCGACCACCTTCGTCTGCAAAACGCTTCATTGGTCTGAAAAATGAAAAAATAAATCCACACCAAGTTGTTTGGAGTCGTCTAGAAGTGGATAGTATTATCCAATTGATCCGTTGACAAGAAAATTATTAATATGAAAAAATGTTACACTATATGAAACATTTTTAAAATCTTGTGGCGTATATTGTGGAGGATTACTCTCGACCACTTTTTACATGAAAAATATTCGGTGTAAATAATTTAATATTTTTACTCAAAATTTTTTATTATTTTCTCATTTTTTTTAAATTTTTGTTATAAAAATTCAACCTTATGCAAAAGAAAATTTGTAATTCCTTAAAATTGTGTATAAGGATAATAAAATTTTATAGTTAAAAATATTTTATTCTCTTTAACAATATGTGACATTCATGAATTTTCACGCACAAGTCTCTTTATTTATACAATGGTTGAAATTTTTTCATTATGTTACAGATCTCTTAACAAATGAGTTTCGATATAGGCCCATATGTATAAATATAAGTGAATAAATAAATAAATGTTAACAATTTCCTGTTTGAGATAAAACAAAATTTCTCATTTCATCTCTTGCATATTATTTTGAATATTTTTTTTGCTTTGTTTATACGTTTTTGTTTCCATATTTTTTTTTTAAATTTGTTCCGTTCCCTCGTTTATTGTTATCCTTTTCTCTATAAAGAAAAGAAAAAAATAGCAAATCCTTCTTCCTTTTTTAGTCATTTATTTTTGTTGTCTTTAATAATATTTTGTTTTTTTTTCTTCCACATACAGCATATATGTGGGTTATCTAAATATACAAGAGAAAAAATATAATTTAGAAAACAAAATACCCTTTTTTTTTACATTTGTATAATCTATACTTTCGAGTATTTATATGCAAACGTATGACTAAGAGGAAATATTTAGAAATCATACACATAGATACATATTATAGTATTTTTAAAGTAGAAATTTCTATGAAATACGACGGTTTCTTAGATAATCTATTACAAACTTAAACTTTTAATAGTCATATGAGCAAATAGTGTTTTTTTGCGTTCTAAAAATAGAGAAACAGCATATTTTAAATTTCATATTTACTAACACAAATAATACTCAACTTGGCTCCTTCACTTCTGAATATTAAGTATAATTTCTAAATTTTAAAATAATATTACACATATGCGAGTAACAAACAAAATTTCACTATCTGCATTAGTTCTTCAGCAAATTTCGCCCTAAATTCGCATAATAAGATGATGTTGTCCTCGATTATGGAGTTGGTATAATTAATTACCTTTCCTCTATAAGAGCCCATTGAAAAAATTTCCTCTATTAGAGGAGTTATTGAGAGTAGTTCGTAAAAATGATGCTATTTCGTTAGAAAATCCTTTTACACAAGAGTAAAAACCCAGCATATTTATTTTAAATATTAAGGATTTAATATTTATTTTTTTACAATAAAAAACAATTTCTAAAATATTTATTAACGTAAAATTATTCTATCTTTATTTTCACATTACAATTTGAATTCAGACAATGAAAAGCAAATATGAAATTTGAATCATCATTCTTTAATTTCTAAGAATGTTATGATAAAAAATGAGTGTTATTTGTTTCGACTGTTTTTTAAGTAGCTAAAGTTAAAACATAATGGGCTTTATACAATAAAAAAATGAGAAATACAAATTTTATCTTTGATTAAATTTTACACAATAATATTTTTATAAGCACTCTACCATTCCACTCTGTTCAAAGTAAAATTGTATGAAAAGAAAAAAAAAAAAATAAATAAATAAATTTTTAAGGATATGTGAATATAATTGAAACAACAATAACGATATAAGTAAATGTTAAAGGAAACAAATTTTGAACGTTTTACATTTATATTCTCATTCATTTTTCCATTTTCCATGAAAATTTTTATTTATTTATTTATTTATTTATTATTTTTTTTACTGAAAATGTAATTTGTGCGTCTTATACTTTACGATTTTTATTGACATATAAAATAAATAGGGAATAGCTATTGCTTTCACGTTTTCTTATAATTTTATGTAAAGAGAAACACTTTCGCCTACAGTCAGGTGAATGTGAGAGAAGCTATAGTTTTAATTTAAAGTTAGAAATCCGATAATTATTGTATTTTGGTCTGTTTTATAGATTATATTGAAATGAGGGAAGCAAATTGCGGCAAGATGGTATTTCTCCTTCGCACTTCCGCCTATTGTACCTCTGTTCCAAAAAAGTGGGACATATCCTCAAATAAATGAAACCCCATCCGAAACAATTTCACACGCCGCCCGAAAGTTGCAGAATAGACTGCTCGTCGCAAAAAAATGTATATAGTGATTTCGTCACTGTCCTCACAAAGTCTACACAAGGCGGACACCGATTTTCCCAAATTATGCAGGTATTATTTTATAGGGCAGTATCCTATAAAGAAATTCGCCATGCCACGTTCCTGGTTTGTGTCCGTCGCCAGTAATCATCTCAAATAAACTTACCACAGCGTGATATCAAAGAATTACCTTCGGGATGACGGCATCTCTTTGTGTGCCGCCTTTTCAAGATATAATTTCTTCCTATTGTACGGTTGGTTTGCGACGCGGCGAATACCAACTTTAATCTAAAAATATTTCTCAATAACAAAACAAGTAGTATTCTTTTGTGAGAGTAAATACTCTTTTAAATTTGGAATTTCCTATCGGGTAATAACCCCCTTCTGTGAGTAATTACGTACTTTGTAGTTAAATAGTAGATTTAAATAGTAGGTTTTTAAAAAGTGATACTTTCGCGTGTTAAAGATTTAACGATTACTTTATTTACACCATAACTTATTGTTATTAAAATTTTTTTGAGAAACAACCATAAAAAAGATTCTCCATTTCTTACTTTCAGGTTACACTGGATAGTTTTACAGTTGGTCGATTTACATCATATATACAAGATGGATGTCCTGATGGTTCATTATCTATATCGGAAGCAACTCGTAGTCCAATTGGTGGTATGTGGTGCGGTTCATCATGGGGTCCTGTATTATTTTATAGTGAAACCAGAGCATTAATTTTTACAGTAAAACTAAATAGGTATATAATTTTTCGGTTTTAATTTTAAATAAGGACATTTTTGGTTATTATTTCCCAATGATTTTTATTTTTTTTAAATTCTAAATCTGACCACTTCTCTAAAGGAAATTTTCAAAAACTATTTCCATTTCTTATTAAAGAATAATTTTTAACAAATTCACTTTAATACTTAATAAAACAAATAAAATTTTTATGTAATAAGAAAATTTTCAGAATTTAAAAATGACTTTAAAAAGTTACAATTGCATATATATAACCTACATACATACATATATATAATATTATAAAAATTCAGATTTTAAGGAAATAAAAAGATTTTTATCCCAAAAAAAATTTTTCACATAAAAATTAAATAACTAAAAAAAAATAACAACAAACATCCAAACAAAAACCCAGTGATCCCCTCTTTTATTTTAAAATGATCTCAACATTCAATTGTTCACAATTTAATTGCATATATACTCGTAAGACCCTCCTGAAAAGTAATAACATTAAAGACCACAATAAAATAAAATATTTTTGTTTTTTTTTGTTATTTTAAATCTCATCCTGCCACAAAGTTTAAAACGAAAAGTTTACAATGTATAAACCCTATATTATACAAAAACAAGAAAAAAAATTTAAAAATGAGGCGGTCGCCATCCCATCCCATTCCAGAAGATGAAAGATTATAAAACCAAAAAAAAAATATCAAAACTTTTTGTAAAGGATCTCCAAATAATACATGATAGTATAGAGATACGGTAGACTAAAAATAAATGAACATCCTCCATTACTACTGATTTTTATTTTTATAACAAAATTATCCCATTCTATTCAATTTAAAATCTATTTAAACATAAAACACGTGTACTAACATATATACTTAATACAGTCATGTACATATATGTAGGGACCCATTATGTGTAATTTGTGTAATTTGTGTGTTTATATACATTGTAGTAATGCATTCCTTTGTAAACTATATTTATAACCTTTAAGTTAAAATTTAACTTTTATCACATTGTTTTTAAAATTTATTTTAATTCGGAAGAATGTACGATAGTGGCATATATATTTTCCGAACTATTGTGCCGTACCCGAAGAATGGCACATAATACTATGGAAAAATTTTTTTTCAATATAATAAATTTCACTAAAAATCCTATATGTCGGCCGTACTTTCACTCATTACGCGGAACATATTATTTGTCAAGAAATGGGTCAACAAAGGCTTCGGCGCGCCGAATCTTTCTGATTTTCAATCCGACTCACGCTTCTGTTACTTTTACAAATAATTCATTTTTTTTTCTCTCCTCAGTTCATTCCCGGTGGGAACATAGAATTTCAACAAATCCTCTGAATCGCACTCTGTTTTGGGTAAAGTACATTATTTCGGAACAGCATTTTCCATTTAAATCGGCCTTGTTAAGTGTGGTTCGTCGTCACGTATTACGGGGTACCACCATCCCATTTTCCTGTGTTTTCCAATATAATACGTGCTTACTTACCGTATTATTCGACCACTGTACCATGTGCCACAGTTATCTCCATATTCTTTCTTTTAAAGCCGCATTTTTAGGCTTCGAAGTTTATTGTTTTTTAATTGTTCTGGGCCAGAATATTCAGCAAATGTATTATTGTTAAGCGTCGATTAATATACTCCTGTGACTTATTAATATACACTGTGTTTGCCAGCCATGTTTCACAGCTGCACATAATCTACATTGAAAATCTACTTTCATTTCATATAGTTGGTGGAAAATTAAGTATAAAAGAATTATAAGATTAAAAATAATAAACTTACACTCTAATTAGAGAATTTAATTCTCATTGTGCCAACCAGACTTCCTCGATAATTACAATTGAAAATAATTAGCTTTCTAAAATTACACAGAATACAAATTTCTCTAAAAATATTATAAATGATCTTTGGTAATATTATAACAATTTCTATATTTATATATAGTTAAAATTGTTCGTATATATATAAAATATTCACAGTAAATCCCATTGGATCCCCATTAGAGTTGATAAAAAAAGTCTTAATATTTTCATTGATTGTTCTGTTTTTTTCTCCTCTTTTTTTTTTTTAATGCTAACTTTTATTATTTGTACGATTCAATAAGCATTAAAATTTATATCCCAATATAGACATATAACATGTATGTATAAATATATTATATTTAATAAAAAAAAATGTATATGTGTGTAAAAGTACTCATATCCCTTTTAAAATTATTCTCCATTTTATTTTATTTTTTTTTCCAACCGCATTGTATTGAACTAGGGAAGTATTGTGATCGTATTAAATTTACCATATTGACTTTTTGATTGAAATGTATTTCAAAATAGTAGGGAAATTCAACACAGCTATTTTTAACGAAATGCCTGTCGGTTTATTTATTTATGAGTCGATTTGTCCCATAAATTCGGCCATCCTATTTATATACGAAAATATATATTTGACTTTATTTTTTGGTATATAAGTCAGATCCAAACCATTGAAGTTATACTGAGGCCGATTTGAAATTTTCAATTATTTTTAAGAAAAATAATTGAGAGTATTGCTTGGTATTTAATATAATTCCTCTACCTTACAATAACGTATATAAAGCGACTCTGTAAGTTTTAACAATTGCAAATGAAAATTTGGTCTGGTCCGATTTTACATTTTCGATAAGATGTATGTCCATAATGAAAGGAATTTCTTAACATTTAATATGTTACAGATAGAGGTACTAACATTCTGGGATGGAAAAATTTTTAACTATAGGTCACCAGGTAAACGACAGATCATTAATTAAATTAACATAATTATATATTATTGTTTCCGCATTCTATTGTTGAATGTATTAGAGGTCAAGAAAGTTGAGTCAACTTACTGTGAAGGTTGTTGATGAGTTGTTTGACGGTCTTGCTTGTGAAGTTATTGTTTTTGTGAGTTTTTGAATGAACCAGTATCCGGGTAGAGAAGATAATAGTGGTTTGTTGATCTTGCCGGAGTTTTGTTGAGGAACAGTCAGTTGTAAGTCAAACTCAAGAAAGTTTCATATTTGGATTCTGTTTCTTAAAACAAAACCAGGCTTTTAATAGAACCACATGACTCCAAGAAGTGAATGTTAATTAATTTTCTGCAAATTTTAAATTTATAAAGAAATTTAGGAAAATTATTTGGAATAGATTACTTGGAATTTAAGGATATAATCAAGAAAATATACAATGCGGTCAGTTATATGCTGGTCACATCAATTTTCTTTTATTTTTTTTTTTATTAAATTCCATTTTAAACCTGGAAGACAGTGAAAAAAAAAGAATTAAAAAAAATATTTTCATCCACAACTAAAATTTTTATTTTGTTTTTACCTTATAATTACCTCCGTTCCATTTGTTTTCCTTCTCCTTTCTCTTGTTTTTGTTATCCTTTATTTTAATATACTTTTTCATTTATTTTTTTGTTCTTTCCATTTTTGCTGTTTTTTTCTGTCTTCCTTGATTTTTCCCTTCCTATATAATTCTCTTAGAATAAAAAATAACAAATTTTCTTTTTCTTATTATGTTTGTTTTTTTTTTCATTATTATTTTTTTTATTAAAAAAAAATGTCCTACTTTTTCAAAAAAAAAAAAAAAGGAAAAATTACATTTTTTTTTTTTTGCTTTCTCATCTTTGTTTTTATAATGTTTTATATTTTTATCTTTTACAGATTGGCAAGAGATCAAAGTGGCTACAATTTTGACTTCCGTATTCGATATAAAGTCCTTGCAAAAGATAGTTCAGTTACCCGTTATGGTGGAGTTAAAATTGAAGGTAAAAATTCAGAAAAGAAAAAAAAATTATTTACAAGGATTTCAAAAACACAAAACATAATAAAAAAAATATTTTGTTAAGAAGTGAGAGGTTTTTTTTTTTAATTTTTTTTTTATTTTGTTTTTCTTTGCAAGCAATAAAATTGTTTGTTTTCAAAATATAGAACAGAATTTGAATTGAAATTCAATGTTGAATTGAAGTATAGTAATTATGAAGTGGGGATAAATGATGAAAATCATGTAAATGATGGCAGATTGAGTTTCAATATAGTTGTACTTGTAATATACAAAACATTTGCTTTCATTATATAGTTAAATTGTTTTTATGTATTTGTTAAATAACATGGTTGTTATATGGTTTTGTAACAGTGTATGAAAATAAATCTATACTATATTTCTTATTGTAAATAATAAAAATTTTTGCAGTAATTACAATTGCCCACTTTAAAAATTTCATCATTAAATGAAAACTATGCACATTATGCCACAGTCGATTTCGTATATCCTTAAACAGAAGGAGAAAGAATTAAGAATATTTAGCGAAAATATTTTTAAATTAGCGAAATATTAGCGAAAAATTGGCGAAATATTAGCGAAAATTTAGCGAAATATTAGTGAAAAGAACGCAGTGATTAAATGCTTATAAGAAACAGAATAAGGGATCATGTATAAAGTAACGTACATCAGAATTGAATGTATTAGGGTATCAGAACAGTAAATTAAATTAATAAAAAAAAAATCAAATCGAAATTAGCTTATTATTAGCGTGTTAGCTATCTAACCCTAACATCAGTAATTACGGTAATACTGGCTTATAAGATCTATTTTTTTAAATTGCCTACTACACAATTTAGCTTATAAAATTCTAGTTCTTTCATTATTGCAAGTACCATGTTCAGCTTACAACTAATAATTGTTGAATTACCAATTGTGATTAAGTATTTTTGCAATTCTAATGTCATCGTCCATCGTCCATATTAAATCGAGTTGGCAGATATAATTATAAATTTCATATTCCATTTTGATAACAATTTACACAAATTGCAGTTTGAAAAATCTTCATATTTTTAACATTAAATAAATTTTTAAGTCAATACTTTACAAAATTATAAAATACTTAAATTTCAATTTTATATACAGGCTTTATGAATTCTCTATTATAATTTAAATGGTCTTCAGTATATATTTATATGTATACATTATGTATGTTATGATTTGATTTTATTTTAAATAAACGATAATATTTACACTTTATCTATTATACAAAGATATTATTTAAATATTAAAAGGATATAAAGTATATTGACATTAAGAAATTGAATTTTTCATTCTTCTTTTTTCTTTTTCTTATTTTTTCCATTGTAAAATTTGCTATTGTGTTTGTGTTATACATTGTGTATAGAGGTACGAATTTCTATTATAATTTTTTTATAAAAACAAAATTCATATGTAAATAAAGTTAAAAAGAAAAATCAAAATTTTTATTTTCCATTCTGAGATTTAATATAAAATAAATCCATTTATCAAATTTATTTATGTTATAATATGGAGGCTTTAAATAAAAAAAAAAGTTTTTTCAAATATAGAAATTAGAATTTCAATAACTTTCAATTAAAATTTACAAAGAGTAATATAATTGAAAATGTAAAATATTTAAATAAATATGATTTTCTCTTTATAAAAATGCGGTATAATTCAAATCAGCGACTGAATTTGAGCATAAGATCGAGAAAAATAATTTTAATAACTTTTAAAGACCTGCTAAAATAACAGATAACTAGGCCATCTCTTATATAAAAGACGAATTCATAATTTTATATTTGACCTTCAATTGATCTTCAAAGCTTTAACAGTATAGTAAATGTGTTGATGTATTTTAAATTTTGTGTTCTAAGGTTCTTTTACATTGTTTTAAAGGAGCTCAGTTCCGAAAATGCCAAAACAAACTTTTATGCACTGTCATCGACTTCGCCGTCAACAAACATTATAACAGATTTTCATATGCAAGATTTTTTAAGGGTCTTTTCCTTTTCGACACATATAGTCATTCTCCTAACATTCATTCTCGAACACTATAAAATTAGTAGAACTTGTAGATTGTAGATTTCAAGGGAACCGAGTGTGGCAGGAGTAATCCCCGAGCCTGAGTAGAACTTAGTTATGCTATATTATAAAAGAATTTAGGCAAAACTATAAAGTATTAAAGTTATTAATTTAAAAAAATTGATTTGGTTTAAATTATGCTCTAAAAATTCATTTTAAATATTTTTTTTACAAAAATTTACTTTGACTCTTGTACAATGCCAAAAATATTATAATCCAGAGATGACAGGCCCATGAATACAATCATATACGTATATTAATAGTCTTTATAGATTGTATGTAATAAATTTAAAAAAAAAACAAAAAAAAGAAAAATTTTCAATAAAAAATGTTTTCCTTTTTCCTGTAATAAATCTTGAATTAACCCCGATCAACGTATACTCTACACTATTTTAAAAAAACAACAAAAACAACCACATATTTCTTTCAGTTTTTGCATTTTTAAATCGATATCCTTTAATAGTTATGTATATGTATATGTATAAAAAATATAAAAATATTTATCATTGCATTTTTTTTTCTCCACAGATGTGGCGCCTTGGTTTAATCTTTATGCAAGTAATTCTAGTAATATACTTGTAAGTTCTGGCGGTATCAGTAATAATAATAATAATATTGGATCTGGTTATGGTATATATGCTGGTTATGAAATTGGTAATGGTAATTTAGATATCGGTATTGGTGGTGGTGGTGGTGGTATTGGTGGTAGTGGAAGTCGTTCCGGTCAACAACATCAATTTTATAATACAACACATAATATAATGTCTGGACCAATTGGTGTTAATACCGGACAATATCCACCAGATAGTAATATATTTTCTGCTTATATGAATGAAAAAGGTAAAGAACTTCATAAAGCTGTTGATAGAGCTGATCCATCAAATCGAGAATATCGTAATTATACAGAACCGATTTATTATCTAGGTAAATTATATATATATTTTTTTTTGTTTTTTTGTTAATTTTAATGTTGATTTTTTTCATAAAATATATAAATAAAATGATCTAAATAGGTTTATATAGGAAGCATCCTTAATAAAAATATGAGTTCATTGTTATCATTACATTCTTATTTTATTAAATGTTTAAAATGATTTTTTTTTAAGTGTAATAATTTTGATTTATTGTAGTGTTTTTTTTTTACTATTAAAGTGAAAAAATAGGATGTACAGTCGAATTAAATTATTCTATTAAAAATTAAATTCATAAAATAGAGGGTTAACAATTAAAAATTTGGTGAGAAAATTTGGATTTTCGCAACACCATTAAAGGCTAAATCTTCGATATCCAAAGACACATATTTGTATAAACCAAAAAATAAAAGTCCGATTTCCTCAAAAATTCGAAAATGTCGCTTAACTACTTTGTATTTTAACTTCTTCTAATAAGAAACAAACAATAAACGTGGTGAAAGTGAATAACAAATAGTAAATCATAGCATTTCTACCTAAATACATGAAATATAGGTAATAATTCGATTACCAGTAAGTTCATTCTGCTACGAAAACTGCCTAAGATCATTTTTTAAGTTTTTCAGTTTATTGAAAATTCGGATTCTCCATAATGTTATCTACGCTCTGTCAAAATTTAGTTAGTGTATCTCATTTAATTCTGAAATTATAGAAAAAAGTATAAAAAATTTGAAAAGAAATTTAAAATATTAAAAGTAATTTTTAATCAAATTTTCTAAGCCAAATTGGAAATATTTTTGAAAATTGATTTAATTTTAAGTTATTTGTATAGTTCTAACAGTATCTTACCAAAATTTAACAATCTAGCTCATTTAAATGCGAATTTATGGAAAAAACTATAAAAAGTATCATGAATTCGTTTAAGAGCTTAAATTTAAACTTAAAATTTAATTTATTCAAAGCTTAATTTTTTAGTTTAAAAAGTTTTACGTTTAAAATTACATATAGGCCATTTTCATATAAACTCATGTATTTTCAATGTTACAGTATTGAAAATTCACGTTGAATAGGAAAATTCTCTTATTTTCCAAAAAAATTTATTGAGACTCCACTGTATATACTGACAATGTACCTACAATATAATAAACATCATTTCATCAGAACAATTTTCTTTCATATTTCATCACAATTTATCAATGTCTAAATATTGTAATTTAAAATAAAAAAAAAATAAATAAGAAAAATAGAATAAAAAAAAAAGAAATAATTCACAATTTTCTATAATTTTTCATATCCTTAGAAATTTATTTACTTTTTTTTTATTTTTGTTGTGAACTTCCTATTTTTATATCACATTTTTTTTTTTTTAGACGTATTCACATTTAGAAGAGAAAAGAATAATAAACGAAACTAGAATACATTCATTCATATTTTAGATAAATGATTGCAATAATAATGATAAAAATTTTTATTATTTTTTATTTTATATTTTTTTTTTGCACAGGTGACCTAATTCAGGGTACATATTGCTCTAGAATCTATAGTAACTGTGATAGAAAAATATGTCGTTTACAATCACCTAATTATCCTGGAATTTATCCAAGAAATTTAACATGCTACTATGCAATTAGACAAGTAAGTTTTAATAAAAAATATTAATAAATAATATTTTATAAAAAATTTTTATTATAATTTAAAAATTTCATTTGTTTTAATTAAACAATAAAAATTATTATAAATAGGTAGTCATTGAGAATACAATTAAATGGATTATAGAAGAAATATAGGTTAGATTATCCTAAAAGTATGCAATTCGGAATTAGTATTGTAAATCAAATAATTTTAGTATTAAGTTAGTATTGTTATAATATTGTAACTAACCTTTCTTTATTATAAAAATGTATTTTGCATAAATATATATTCATACACTAAATTTTAAAACAAGGGATGAAACGACTATTCACACAAATCCTATTATAGATTGTAGACGGTTCATTTCCGAAAAGAAATATGAGTAAGGGAACATCTTCGTTTTCGGCCATCTTATTCAATTATACCTTACTGTAGCCTCTCATATCCCCACTTATACTCTACTGGTATTAAGTAAAAATCCAGATATAATCCTTAAAGAATTTGCTGTAAGTTTCTAAATATTGGGTAAGTACCGCGTAAACCACTAGAATAATAAGGGAATGATCACACTAAATGTGTGATTATTCAATAAATATCAGTTTTCTCATTGCTTCGGCAGAATATACATAAATTGGAGTCAAATGTACTTAGTTTGCTTGCAGTTGATATTTCAATTAAAAATGTCTAATAGAGAAGCTCGCAATATAGCACGAATCAGATTTCAATCCATCCCCAGCAATTCTAATTAGAGCTTTCTCGGTTTATTAAATTTATTTTTTTTTTAGATTCTGAATATCGAACCCTTATTTTTTGTTCACTTTATGATTAAAATGTTATGGCTTTATGATTTTTCTTGTGTCTCATAGTTGTGATCTCGAATATACACAATTTTATTAGAATATATCGATTTTTAGCGCCATATCTTTAAGTTTACACTAATTACACTATGTTTATGAATTCGTTATTAAATTTTAAATCCATTTTATGGAATTTATTAATCTATACAAAATAATAAATTAAAAAGAATTCATCTAATTTCACCTATAGCTAGCTAGCCTTAGGTGATAGCAATGTTCTTCAAAAAAACAACAAATACATCAAAAAATTTATCCTTATTTCTTGAAAATTAATAAAGAAGAAAAATTTTTCTTTTTCGAATTTTTCATTTTCTTTTTAAACTTATTAATTTTCAAAAGTGTTTTAATGTTTTTCAAGATATTAAAATAAAAAAAAAAACTAAAATTAAATTTGAAATTGCATTATAATTTTCCTTTTCCCTAATTATTCTATGCTCAGTCAACATTATAGCAATTTATTTTTTAATCATTGAATTTTCTTTTTTCTTATTGTTTTTTTTTTTGTTTTTAATTAAAATAATTTTATTTTTGTATTTTAATAAACCTTCTGTCGCACTTATTTAGTTTATCTTTTGAAAAAATATATGGAGAGCAGGGGATCAGCAGTTGGAAAAAGTTATGTGTATATAAAATGTCGATTTATTAGTGCAAATGTTTCTCCTTAAATAATTATTTTTTTTTTCTTTCATTTTATTTTACCATTATTTTAACATTTATTCTTTAATTTTCTTTTCTTATAAATTATTTTCTTATTACAAAAATAATTTTAAAAAAATTTTACAAAAATTAAAAACAAATAAAATATTGGATATAAGAATTTAAAATAATTAGAAAAAAAAAACAGCAGATTTCCTTAAAAAAAATTATAAGATTCGAATGTAGTTATTAGTAAGGCAAAAAGAAACATTGAGAATCGAGACATATTGAAAATATTCAAGACGAGTTTATTGTTTTCCATGGTAATTTCTTCAAGTATGTCATAATTTTTGTTCTATTGCTAATAGTCAAACCAGTAAATGACCTCAAAATTATTTCCTAAGGTATATTCATAAAATAATTTCTTTTCTTAACATAAATACAGTTAATTTAAATATTACGGTATACAAAATTGTTACCATTTTGATAAGTTATACAATCACCTTTAGAACAAGACTCCGATGGTAATTTTATGTCGTATGGTTAGATAGTTATAAGAATTTATTTATATGAAACAAGAAATCTGGTACCTGTTTTTCTTAACAGGCTGTACCTCGAAAACGAGTATGTCTACGGTCATTAAATTAAATCCGGTTTTATTATTATAATTTTTCTAGCCAAATTCCATTTTATCCTTTAGTATTTATTTTAACAATAATATTAATTAAAAAATAAAATATTTTTAAAAGCAAGGCTTTAATTTTCTTGTCTTACTTTCTGAGAAATTACACCTGTAGGCTTATTTTCCTCATTTCCTTCTCTTTTCTTATGTTTTATGTTCCAACTATTTCAATTTAAATAATATAAGTGCTAAAGAATTTCAATATACTTTAGTGTTATAAAATTCGAAATTAGAATTTTATTTATTTAAGAAAGCCTTACGAATGTAAAATTTAAAAATTTTTAATAATTCAAACAAAAAATTAAAACTAAAGGAAAAAATTCTCTTCTAAATTTAAAATCTTCCAAAACAAAAATTTTTAATCCAATGTTATTTATGTAAGTACATATATAATAATAAATCCTTTGTAAGTATTAAAAAAAGAAAAAAAAAAAACAAAACAATTTCATGAGAATTTATGAATTTTTAATAAAAGGACCAAACTGAAAAAGAAAATTTATTTTTCTTTATTTTTTCATTTTTTTTTTTCAAAAACTTTTTAAAACATTCTCTTCTTACTTTTTGTTTATTTATAAGTTCCATTTGTGTTCATTTGTTTTTTTTGGTAAACTTTAATAATTTTCCAAAAGTGAGTAATTTACTAAACACACCAAGTAATTATTTTTTCAAGGATATTTAAGGATATTCATTGCGTTCCCTCTAGTTTTGTGTTTTTTTCTCACTTTATCCAAATCGTTTGAACACTATTTAAAATTTATGACCTTTTCATGGATTCGTTTTAGTCCCTTCATTTTTTCATTTTCTCTTAGCAAAATTTATAATTATGTATTTTTTTTTTTTTTTTGGAAAGCATAATTTATTTTCCTTTAAATAATACTTATATGTATGTACACATGTATCGGTATAATTTGTGAATAAATTTATGAAGTGTTTTAAAAAATTGGCACTTTCAATGACACGGAAAATATTTTTTATAAGAAAAAAGGAAAATATTAACTATTTAAAGAAAAAATATGCAAAAGCCAATCGAAATTTGGCTAATATGTTTTTTTAAATTTTTTAAATAATATTTTATTAATGAGCTCTTGGTAAGAGAAAGGCTGTGAAGTAAAATTGCTTCTAAAAAAATACTTGAATTTATTGAAAACAAGGTGCCGGCTGTCGGTGGACTATACTAGATGACATGTCCGTACTTAGTTAGGGGGCACAATATACATGCAACAAATAATTTTAAAATTTCATGAACTTTACCATATTATAAAATATTGAAATACTTATGCATCATTTAAATATTTAGTTTAAAATTATTAAAAATTCAAGAGGAATTACTCAGTATTACTAGACATCTCAATTACAAGTTTGTACTTTAAATCTTCACCCTTCATTAAAATGCTCTCAGGGTATTTAAAATAAAAAATAAAATTTTAACAACACCAATTCAAAATTAATAAGAGTTCTAACGCAAAACCACTATACAACTACAAATTTATAAAAACTTCTAAATTTACAGGAAAAAAACATTTAATATATACCTATTAATTTTTTAAAGACTATAATTATTTTATGTAATTACTCTAAATCACTTAATGGCAACAATGAACGCTATCATTTGTTGATATCGTGAATGCGATGAAAACTAAAAGGCAAACAACTTTAAAGATAACAACAATGATGACAACAAATAGATAAAATAAATAGATAAATTATTGTAAGGAAAAAACAGATTATCCTTTTTAAATTAAAAATATTACGAAAATCAGGTGTACACAAGGACTTATGAATATAAAATAAGTCCATTATGTGTTTATTTTTTTTGTAAATAATTTAAAACGTAAAAAGAAAAATTAGGAAAAATTTTAATTTAAGCTATCTGAGTTTTACGGTATGTTAATTGATTAGCCTCTCTAACGATTTGGAGAACGCTCCGATGAACATTATTTTGATGTTCCGTTGCCTCCCTTTAATCAGATCAAGAAGGTCTGCTTTCCCAGAAAAGAATAAATTTGATTCTCTCGAGAGATGATCATTCGTAAAGAGTGCGGCATGCCCTATTAATTGTAATTGCAATGTAGTTCAACGTTGCTCAGCCAGAGACATTTTAGAGGTGGGAAGGGTTTTTGTTACCGTCAACGCTATTAAAATAAATATATATAGGCATAATCTATTATGCCATGACCGCAGATTCTACCTACACGCGAGACAGTATCAAGGAAAATGTGGTCAAATATAACCTTAATCGAGAGACTGCTGGTGGTGCCTCAATTTAGCCTAGCGACGATGTACATGGCACACAGGTCCATGGAGGAGTGTGCAACCAAGGATTTCAATTATATATAACGTAGATATTGGGAGATCTTTTTTCAATAACATTGCGAGTGTCCGGCGGGTCAAACTAATCATATCGGGTCGACAAATTTGGCGAGATCGGATGAGGTAACGAAGATAGATATGGTCGACTTAGTGGTATTCCTCTTAAGAATCGGGTTACTTACATGAGCGACCTCTAACCGAACGTTGAATGGCGGGCAATGGTAACAAAATGATACAATTGTGCTGGTACCGGTCACATCAACAAATCATTGTATATTTTCCATATTATGTATATTCAGTTATTCATAACGAAAACAATGATCCTTAACTAAAATTTAGTCATCTTTCGCAAAATACTAATTATACTCTTGTGGAAAGAATTTTTTTTGGAAATTTTGACTCATTTTTTTAAGCACATTCCCGGGAATAATTTCAAAAAAAAATGTGCTTAGTTTCATTTTGTCGAGCCTAATTTGGGTCTGTTGACAAAATATTTTTATTCTTCAACACAAAGAGCAAACAAAAGGATCTTTGTGCCAAGACAAACCTACTTCTCTACGAGAAAATTTTTTAATTTATCCCACCTCCTCTCCCCCCCGCCCCTTCTTTAAATATAATAATTATTCCGAATCCGTTATTTTTTTAAAAACCTAAAAATTTTGTATATTTTCAAAAACGTTTGAGCTTCTCTATGCCGAAATGTCCTACTCTACAGAACTCTTAATTTTATCCAAATTTATAATAATAAAAACATTTGATTGCAAATTATAAGGACGAAAAAACCAAGGAGAAGAATAAGAGAAAATTCAAATAAAAATAAAGAAAATGATGGTGATTTAATCAGAATTAAATGCGTGATTTAAATTCATTATAGTTACTTTAACTTAAACAATATAATCGTTTTAAATAAATAAACTATATATACGCTTATATAGCCAGTTCTTTTATATTCCCCCATCGAAAATTTACAATTTTATAGAAATATTATCATTAATTTTTATTATCGCTGATTATATACAAAAAAAAAATGTTTTTTCTTTTAGTTTACTTTAGAAATAGAAATTGGTAAAAATGATTTCTATTTGAATATTTTAATTTTCTTATCTTGTATTCCTAAAATTTACTTTTAATTGTTAGTAATTGTTTTTTAAATTTCAGTCATTTATTAAACAAATTGTCTCTTTAATTTGAATTTATTTAAATTATTTAAAATAAAATCCCGCTTTTTTATACAATACAATAAAAAATTAATGTTATTTTTTTAATTTTAAAATACAATTAAAAGAGTAAATTATAATTTGTTTTAAAATAGGATGATGACTGAAAATGTCATGCAAATGGTTAGAGTATTAATTTTGATAAACTTGTAGAAAATAGTTAAGTAAATATTGAATAAAATATCCTTAAACAAAATTACTGATAACCCTATAATTTCACAGAAAATTACAAATTAGAGGAAGAAGCCAACAAATTGATTGAATGAAAATTTATAAAATTAAATTCAGGATATGCAATCATATTTATTAATTAACCATAATATCTGTAGTTAATTTTAAGTAATTTCAATTTGTTTTTACCTCATTTACCATTTTATAATAATTATTTTCTTAATTGAATCCAGATTTTTTGCAAAAAAAAAATTCTAATAAATTTAATCGTTTAGATCAACCGCACATTACGCCAAATTAATTACCTATACCGCAAGGATATAATTATAAGAATAATTATTTATTTTCTTCCTTTTCTTTTCTTTTCTTTTCCTTTTCATTATTTAAATCAAAAAGATTCAATGAAAATCATAAAGGAACAAAAAAAAAAAAACTTCCTAACACAATAAAATTTCCTTTTATATTAAATGGGGAAAAAAGAAAATAATAAAAAATTAATGAAAATTTATTTTCAAGGACATTTCAAGTCTACAACATCAATATTAACATACATGAATGAATTATAACACATACATATGTACTTATTAACATTTATATTTTATTTATTTGTATACGTACACACATACATACATATATACAAAATATATAATGAAATTTTATTTTTGCTTATTTTTTTTAACATAAAAACCGAAAAACCAATTCTATTTTTATAAATGAAAAAAATTTTTCAAAAATTTCTTTATTTTCGTATCAAGGTATTAGACCTTGTCAAGGTATTATAACTTTCTACAAACAACTTTATTTAAAAATAAAAATATTATTTATAAAGAACGTATGCTATGAAAATGAGAAAATCAATAATTTTTTTTGTTTTTTTGCAAGAAATCGATAGAGCGGAGAAAAGAAATTGTTTCAGATTTTCTTTTTAAGGATTTTATCAACGTTAATTATGAGGAATAAATATATTATAAGAAATTAATGAAAATTTGACAAATTTATTCTGAGTTCATCAACATTTTTTTAACAAAAATTTATTTAGTTCTTGGCCTTAGAAAGATTTTTTATGAATATATTTTTAAGAAAAATTTCATGTAATTTTAAGAATGTTTTAGTAATCCTGTTAAAATATATTCAAATTCTACATTAATATTCAAAAAATTCCGGAATTATTACAACATTTGGTTGATCGAAAGGTTCTCTTTCCCAAATTTACCATTTATTAAAATTTTCTTTGAAGAAATAATTTGGAGGAACAAAGCCATTGTTCCATTTAAATTTTTAATATTCTTTAATCGCTATAACAAAATTATGCAGTAGTAACAAAATATTTCCAATACTTTATTAATTTAATTTCTAATTACAATATTTTCAATTAATATTAATTCCTTGCTATATTATTACGATTAAAATTCAAAATCACAATGACAAATTCTATAACAAATTTTAAATAACTTTAAACTTTCCATAAATCTTGTACATAATTCCATTATATTACCCAATCCTATATAAGAGTTTAAAATAATTACTCGTAATCACCATAATATAGTATATTTATATATATTTTAATATTAATATTGAAATCGATTTCTAAAATCTCTTTTAATCCTAATTTAAAATTCAATAAAAATAAAAAATTAAAAAAAAAAAAACAGGGAACAATCAACAATATCTAATATGGAGTCAAGTTTAATAAAGTAAAATAAACACTTGAATATTAAGTATACCCTATACCATTTCAAGGTTTGTCTTAGTTTTAATTCAAAAATTAATGTATATCGTACGGATATACATACACTGTATAGTATGACTTAATTGATTTTAGACAAAACCCTTAAGAAAATTTTAATATTGAAAAATTTCTAAAAAAATTTTAATGGTATTAAGGTTTTGGTACGTTTGTATAGTAATGATAAATTTTTAAATTTCCAAAATTATTTACAGTCTTAAATTTTCCAGCAAATTCTTTATTATTTAAACATTTTTCCTTGAAAAAAAAATCAATTTATTCTAAAAATACAATAATCAATTGTAGGGTATGCTTTAAATGAATGAAAAAAAAAATTTAATTATTTTATAGTGATTCAATTACCAACTTTAATTTTATTACTCATTTAAATTATACCAATATGTAGTGATCTGATGACATTTAATCCAATTTTTGTTTTTTTTGTATTTAGCAAAAAAATACAAAAATCATTTAATTGTTTTCCTCCATTGTGCCGTCGTGTGTTTCAATTGCTTTTCATTTTTTTTTTGTGTATTTTATGACCCTCTTTCTATACTATAAATTTATCAATTATACCCTTTGCATTTGCATAATATATATATATATATATATTTAACTTACAACTATCAATATATTGTACATGTGTTTGTGTGTATATATATTTTTTTATTATACGATTAGCAATGTGTATTGAACTCTTAAATTAAATTAATATTGATTTGAAATGGTTGGTAAAATTTATTTTATAAGTTCATCAGTTTGAGAAATTATAAGGATTAAAAACAAAAAGAAAAATACAATATAAAAATGTGAAAATAAAATACGAAAAAAGGCTATATATATATATATTAATGTTCACAATTTTATTTTAAATGTTCATTCATTTTCAAAGTCACTTTGCGGAAGTCAATGTCATTCATTTTGAATTTAATTATTGATTTTTTATTTTATATTTCTTCACATTTCTCATTGTTTTCACTTATGTATTTTATTCCATTTATTTTTTCCGATTAATTGTAAAAATTAAGGTATTAAATTTTTTTTTTTGTTATCCTTATAAATTTCTGTGGTACGTGAAATTATGTAAATCGAAAAATATAAATGAAAGTTTATGTAAATAAAATGTTAGGCAAAAGGTTTTAGTAAATTAAACAATAAAATTTTAATATTATAACAGTAGAATTTTGTTATCACAATGGTAAATTACTGTTTGCAGCAATTTTAAATAAAAAAAGAATAAATTTTATTTACCATTTTAATAAAGAAAATTAACTGAAACAAACATATTAAAATTGCATACTTTTAGGGGTATGTTATGATATACTGTAGGGATTCGTTTTATTGCATTTTGTTTGTTTGCTTGTTGGTTCTTACATTAAATTCAATTGTATTCTTACAATAAAAGAATTAATTTTTAAAATTTATGAAAATTTTTTGAGGAAATAATTATTTAATTTATTAATGTATGATAATTAGGTTGTTATTGACCTAAAGAAAAGTTAAACACAAACTATATGCAAATTTCCACATAATATATGCAAATTTCCACATAATGGATAAGTTTTCATTAATTACCATAAAAAAAAAACTAATTTTACTTCGGTGCATCGCGTTTTCAAAAATGCAAAATTTTCTATATTCTAGCAATAAATATACCATTATAATCCTTTTGCGGGAAATCTAAATTGCCTTTCATATATTCTTATCATATTTAAATAAATAATGACAATAATTTACAAAAAGATTCAGGAAGCCTTAGTCAAATAAGAGACAGCTTTAGTTGGGAATAATAAGCTCTTCGTCAAATAAAAGACAGCCTCAGTTGGAATAATTAGAGACAGCCTTAGTTGGGCTAATTACATGCAGCTCAATTAGTTATTTAGCATAAAATGGAGCTATTATTGACTTTAATGTGAATTAATTTGTAATCTACTGTATGCAATATTACAATAATATTCTCAAAGAAATTTATTCCCTCAGTAATATTCTAATATTTCCATTTATTTGAATATACTTCCATTTCAGGCCTGTTTTTGCTGTATATTAGTGTATATTTTTTATAATATTTTTGAAATTAATTAAATATTGTTCTAAAATATTGAATTATCTAAATGAAAATCTTTTAAATCCTTTTAATTTTTAAAATTAAATATTAATATTAATAGCATTGATATTATCCTTTATATAATTTTTCTTTTTTTTGTAGCATGATGTTCCACACGGTAAACATGCTCTAATAACAATAAAACAATCAAAAGGTAATCTTATTTGGATAGCAATACCACCAAATACAGCTGGACAAAATCGTAATTATATTGGTGGTGGTGGTGTTAGTAGTGGTATTGCTGGTGGAATTGGACCTAATACAGATAAAGATAAAAAATATGAACCAAAAATTAAAACATGGAATGAATGTGATTATATTCAGGTAATTACTTTTTTTCCTTTTAATTTCACATTTTAATTTTTGATTTAATTGTTGTCTTTCTTCTTTATTTTAAAAAAAAATTATTCTTCTTTTATTTATTAAAATTTTTTTCATATAATTTTCTTATTTTTGACATTTTAATTATAATAAGAAATGAAAAACCTTTGAAAAAGGATAAAACATGAAACAAAAAACAAAACAATAATTTTAAAACAAAACAATTGTTTAATTTTTTTTTCTCTGTGTAAACAATAAGAAAATATTTTTTAAAAAAGGACCAAAACAATCAACTATTTTTCTAGAACAAAAAAAAAATTATACAAAATTTTCTTTTCTTTCTTATCTTTTCTATATTTTATTACAATGCTTCTTATAGGGGTGCTTTATATTTTTTTTTTGTTTTTTGAGCGAATTTTCATCAAAATGTTATTTAATATTTTAAACAAAAAAATTATATAAATTATGTTCATAATAAAAAATCTGTGGCTAAAAAAACAAAGATAGCATTCAAAATAAGGCATAAATTTTCACACATTATTAAACTTATAAAATATAGGGTATTTTTTGTAACAAAGCCTAAATCTTGAGAGAGAAATATTAGATTGTATTGTATGTATCTTGACCTATATAAAAGGCTGCAATTTCTCTATGGTTATTCATATTCTAGGAATTTAAAACTCCACAACAATATTTTGAGAATTCTCAATAAACTCTCAAGAGATCAAGTATTAAATTAAATTTGTTGAATTTGAACAATTCAAAAATGGTGAAAATTTTATATTATTTAAAATAAAAATAATTTTTTTAACAACTTATTCATTTTGATATCTTATAATTTTTCTACAAATTTTATTGAAATTCAATATTATATTTTGCATACATTTTTTGTATATTATGTGAGATCTTCTTCGCAGTTTTCTCCTATCAAATTTTTAGACACAAGAAGAGAAGACAAAAAATATTAAATATAATTTAATAAATTGATAAATTTAAACCTTTAGAAATTCAAAATTTGAAATTTATTATTTCTATTCTATATATTTCTAAAATTCTATATATTCAAAGACAAAAGGAAAGGGAAATTTTAATTTCCTTCAATGTTTCTCATACGTTTGTATTAATAACTTAGAATTTAATGCGTTTCATATTAAATCCATTAAACCTAAAAAAGTTTGAATGGTCTATGAGTGTAGTTCTTTCAAGAGGACCGCGTCGGTCTATTTAATCAATTAGAAAGTTTTTAAAATTCAATTATACGTTTTCAATATTATGTTGATTTTGTTTAATTCCCTGTAGCTTTTGTACGGCTTGGTTTTTGTTCAATTTACGGCTTGGTTTGCTTATGTACGATAAAACGATAAATTACTAATTATTATATTGTGTCGTCCTTAAGCAAATTGTGAAAATTTTAAATTTTATATGCAATATATGTCAAAAATTATAAAAATTTCAAAAAAAAAAAATTTGAAAATCTCAATTTTCTTCTCTTCTACCAGAATAGACTTTGTGAAGAAGCCACCTTTTAGCCAACAGAATTATTATTATTTCTATAAATGCTTTTATTGTTGTTTTATAAATATATTATATACATATATTAAAATATATTTTTGTATAACAAATTATATTTAACGCTGTAATTAAAAAATCAAAAAACAAAATTATCAAGCTGTAAATATTGTTATCAGCTTATACTGCAAAAATTAAGAAAAAAACATTTTTATATATAACATTTCATTCTTATATTTTTATACAATTTAATTTCATCATATATTTTATTTTAAAACTATACATTTAATATAATACAGATTATATCTATATTTATGTAAGTATAATATAAAATAAAACAAATTATATATATATATATATATTTTGTATATACACGAAGATATATGAGACACACAAAATTTAATTAAATACACAAACATCTTAAATTTAAGCAATACTATTATTGATTTGAATGGCAATTTATTAACTTAATATACAAAATCATTCTCAATCATATCTACAAACAAAATTCTTAAATTATACTCTAAAAATTGAGATATGATCTAATACACAAATTGACTTTCAAAAATATTCGAGTATAACTATTCGAATACATATATAATAAGTAATAACTATAATAATTATATTTACGGTCTAAGATTTCAATATTTTTACAAAATTTATATAAAATTCTTTTTATTTTAATTTCCAATTTAAATGAAAATCTTACATACAGAAAACAAATTTTTATAAGTATAAGATTCAATATTTAAAACGTAAATCATCTTATAAATTCTCATATTGTACAATTGTAGAACTCAATTTAAAATATAAAGAATTTTAGTTCGGAAGTTTGGAAAGCTCATATAATATTACAAGTAATTCGAGAAAAAATAATATTTTAATTTAATTATTGAAGAGTAATATAAAATTAGAATATTTTCTTAAATTTTCCAAAATACTTTTATTTGCTTTTGTATTGAAAATATTTTTACTTTCGGAATTTATCAGTTCCGAAAATATGATCCGATATCCTAGCAATTCTAGCGTCACAAATCGCACAATTGTAACTGGAAATTTAAGCAATATATAAGTCAAAATTAAGAAATCTTAAAAATTCTCTCTTAAATACTATTAAGATATTTCCAGCTTTCATTATTATATAGAAATGGTTGATTACAAAATATTTTTAATTATTTATAGGCTGAACACAAAACAAAAAATTGCCTGATTTATGACATTCTATAAAAATATTTTTTCTATATACAAATTTACATTAAAATATAATAACTTTATTTTTTAATTAAAAATTTGCAAAATTATTCAACTTTATTCAACTTTTTACTCATTTTCACTTTATATCAATTAACACTTTTATTCATTTTAAATATTTCAAAGGAAATTACACAAAAACTTTTACATTTTAACTATTTACTCTTATAAAATAATAATAATAATTATAAATACATATAAGTATATTTACCATAATTAAATATACTTACATTTTTTAACATTTCTTTAAACAAAATTTTAATTGGCACTCAAAAAAATTAAAATTATTGAATAATTAATAAAAAATCATCAATTATACATGAAAATCAAATAAAATTTATGAATTGATTAACTTCTACATAACTCTACATACCTCAATATTCAAAAACTTTGAATAATACGAGTATACATACAAAACGAAGAAACATTTCAAAGAGAATCAAAAATGAAATTTTATAAACAAAAAATAAAAAGAGAAAAAAAAAAATTTTTAATTTTCATTTTTTTTAAATTTTTTTTTTTGTATTTTTCTCAAAATTCATATAGGATAACTACAAACAACTTCCAAATGAAAAATGGAGATCAACGGTAATAAAAAAAAAGAGATAGCAACAAAAATAAATAAAAAACAATAAAATAAAAGAGAAAAATTTCCTTTCTCTTTTAGTATTTTTTTTTTTCAAATAGTGTATTGTCCTCCCTCTCACATTCTCATATTGAATGTTATGTTTTTTTTAAATTAATAGCAACACACTCTTATGTAATTTGTTCTTTTTTTTTTTAAACTAAAGTAACAACTCTAAAAAAAAAAAAACAAAAATAATAATAATAAAAAATATTTTTTCTGACTTTTCTTTAAAAACCCTTTCGAAATTTCAAATTATTTTTTTTTTGTATATTTCCAAAAAGCTCGTCAATAGTCGTAGACTTGTGAATTTCATTTTTCCTTACCACATATAAAAAAAGAAACATTAAAAACCCATCTGCTTAATAATTGAAAAATGACATAATCCAAATCCTTCTTTTTGTTTTATTTTGGTAAAATGATTAATAATAACTTTTCTATAAATTAATTTTAAAAGTAAAGCTTGAATATTGAGCAGTTCTACCAAAATTAATTAACCTAAAGATTTTTTGAAAAAATTTTCAATTTCAAATATTGAAATGCCCTATGGTTTTTCTTATATTACATACGTGGAAGTTTTCTGTTTCAAATGAAAAATTTTTGTTAAATTTTAAATAAAAATTGTTTGGAATTATTGGGCGTAAGTGCGTTTTCTAATTAATAGCAAAATTCCTAAAAATTCTCGCACGAAAATTTCTTACTACCGTTATAGCATTTTACCAAAAAATCGTTTAGTAAATGCTTTTAATTTACACAGGAAATTCCGAAATAAATCAATAAAAATTATAAGAAATTACAATGGGCTTCTTCTTACATTGCATGAATTCTCTTGACTTCGAATTTTTTCCCAACATATTATAATGTTCGGTTGTTGGACACTTTTGTGATTCCATTTGATTTATTATAATTTCCTAAATTTGGAGCCAAACAATTGTATTACAATTCTTGTAAAATTCAATAATATTCAAAACCCGAGAAGTATTTATGTTTTATATTGAATTTTCTTGCAAAATTCAACGAAAAAACTTCATATTAACATATTTTTCACCAAATTATTCTTTTAAATTTTAATTTTAAATGACAATGCAATTAAATATCTGCACAGTCTCAATATCAATTTTAATACAACCATGGGCGTCTTACTCGTATATTTATTTACTTATTCCTACGTTATTCATACAAAATTCTTCACATCATTGCATACTTTCGGGCGCTAAAGTACTTTAAAATTAAAGAATAGAATATGTACCTAAATAATTACCATTATAATCGCCATTTTTCTTCTATAAAACATAAAAATTTGCAACTTTATCATTTATAGAAAAAAAAAAAGAAAAAATTATATAATTTAATCCTATTAACATTTTACCATAAATAAAATCCTTAAAAATATAAAATAAATATATATATATATATATATATATTTTTTTTTTTCATTTTTATTAACATAACCTTAAAAATTATTTCCTATATTTTTTTATATATAGAAGATATATTAGAAATTTAATTAATTTTTCAGTGTGAATAAGAGCAAAAACACAAAAACACTAGTAAAAAAAAAAATAGTAAAAACAAAAAAAAAATAATCAACTTTTTCATTAAACATAATGTGATTTTAATTCATTGAAATTATGTGTGTGTATGTAAATGTGTAGGTAATTATAAAAATAAAAACCACATATAAAAAATATTTTATAATTAAACTTGTCTACACTATATTATTATATATATATTTTTTTTTTTTTCAAATTCCTTATATTTTATTATTATATATTTAATAGAATACACACTTTATTAATATTTAAATGCACGTAAATATAAAATATATACTTACTAATTTATATTCCTAATTATACAGAGTATTCAGTATATATAACCGATGATACTATCGGAAAAGGGTGATAATATAAGTTTTAGACGCACAAAAAATAATATGAGATATTTTCTTTTTCTCTCTCTCTACGTTTAGTGTTAATAAGACCACAAAGCTATGATCTTACTGAAAAGCTTCCACTTTTTTGCATTTTTATTATTACACAAAAAACGTGACAGTGTTTTCTTACCGGAAATATGCGTGACTTGTAAAATCTTCCTTATAGAGCGCATACAAATCTTTTTTTTTAGCAGTTTGTCATTTAAAAATATTTTGTTTGAGTATAATTTTTCAATGACTTGATCGTATTTTTTCTTCATACAAATATTTATTCGCAGATTTTTGCCACAAATTTCGTATCAAAATAAAATTAATAGCTACAACTTCTATACTTCGTATAAAAAACTTAACATGCTATTAATGAATAATTTATTATGAGAAAAAAGATTCTATCCGAAAAAACTTCTGAAAATATTTAATTTTCACAAAAATATTTCGTTTTGATGAAATAATATCAAACGAAATAGAATTTTATATGGTTTAAATTTAGTACGCAAAATCATCTTAACTTAGCTTATTTCCCGAATTTCAACATGTACCAGTCATATTTCCTGAGTTGTAACGAAAATCTATTAGAAATATCTCAGTACAACAAGATTTTCTGAAGACCAACTTTAAAGACTATAAAAGTTCAAAAAAGCGAACGGGAAAAATCAATATAATCCCATATTATTTTTTATTTGTCTGGGTCTCTGCTATCACCTTTGGTGGTCATATCTCGAACACTTTGTATATGTATATATATATATATATATATATATATAAATCAAAATATTAAAAAATTTATCTATCTCAAATATTTTACCACATTCCAATGTTATATATACACTATATATATATATTCATTATAAATATAGAAATATAAGGTATATATATAAAAAATATTTATGCACAAACTAAATGATAATTTGCTATAATGTTTTTTCACTTCCTTAATTGAAAATAACAAAAAAAAACTTACCATGTATTTCTTCTATATGCTATATACAAAATTAAGTATATAAAAACTTATCATATATACAACTATATAGTAGTCGCCATATAAACCCCACAATACATAGGCACATAAATTTTAATTACATTTAAAAGAATCTTTCACTTTTATATTATGAGTATACACAGATTTTTTTTCACCTTTTATTATATAAGTATACACATGTAATCAAATAGCCAATTCATGTACATATTATACAATCATATAAAATAGAAGAAACCATATCAGATTTTTACCAAGTATATGGAAAATGCATTTTGTATTTTGTGGATTTTTTGTTTTTTTTTTTTGTATGTTTTTTACTTTTTCACTTGCACTTAATAAAAATGGAATGATAAATAAAGTGTGGATTTAAATATTTGTATAAATGAAATGATAGTCCGCATATAAAATATATAATATCTGAGCAGGATTTTTATTTAGTAAGGATATTAAGTATATGAATTGGTATAATTTCTTTGAATATACATTGAATATTTTAAATTGCAATCTATGAAATTATAAGAAAATAACAGGCAAATTCATTGAACATCAGTTCCATGGTATATAAGGTAAAGGAGCGTAAAAATCGGCAAACTTTATTTTTGAAATATAATAGTTTATGAACTAATCTAACACGGATATAGAACACGAAAATAGAACAACACATTCTTTAAATTCATATTTCGTTTTATTGGAAGTTCTAATTCTTAAAACAGGCCACAACACCAAAGCTCATTTCTCATTTCAATTGACTATTTTTTGTTCTTACACCATTTGGAATCATTAAGACCTTCCACTTGACTTTTTTCTTTCTAGAATAAAATTTCAGTTTTATAAGTCATATTGTATTTACTATATACGGCTGACTAGCTTGCCGAAACTGTATTCATTACACATTAAATATTGAAGTTTATTGATATTTTATTGTCATTAACAATCAGTATCGAATATTAGGGACACAATTACTTTTACATTTAAAAAATTGAATTTTAATTTTTTGCCAAAGTAGGGGGTCGTGCAAAATTTTAAAAAATTTTCAATTTTTGTCAAGGTAGGTGGTCGTGCAAAATTTTAAAACTACCTTAACAAAAATTGAAATTTTTTTAAAATTTTGCACGACCCCTTACCTTGGCAAAAATCAAATGTTCTTTAATCTGCGACCAATATCTAATCATAAAATTTTTCTTAAATATCTGAAAATGATAATTTTCATTATTAATTATTTATTATTGCTAAATTTTGTATCTTTAAAGGTAAAATATCTCTAAACCAATAATTGCAAGTTATCTAGTTGTACCATAAACCTCACGATAATTTCTATAATGATCGGACTAGGTTTTGAATTCGAGATCCTTCGGTTAAAGAACCGGTACCATAACCACTGTATCATGGATCAGATCTAATTGCATTTATGATGATTACATTGCTTTTTTTTCAAAAACTAAAGTTTCTTTAGTATACTCTAAACCGTTTTACTATATAATTTTACAATTTTCCTCAATTATTTTTGCCACACATACATTATTTATACCTAAATATTTTAATGTTATTGAATTTTAATAAATTTTTCAAAAAGGATAATAACATTATAATTTTATTTAACTTTGAATACAACTCTTATTATTCATTTAAAGAGATCAAATTTTTTTTCGGACCTGAGAATATTTTTTTTTTTTTTTTTTTTAAATCCAATTTATTCTCAAGGATACAAGTTATTTATGTTATACATTCGTACATATATAGTACATATATACTTGTGTAATAAAAAATTGAGAAAAAAAACAGAAAGTTCATACACTTTTTTAATTTAAAATAAAAAACCCGACCGCATTTTTCAAAAAAAAAAAGAGAAATTCAATTCAATATTGTGAATTCAATTTATTCCTTTTTCGTTTATTTTATATATATATATATATATATTGACGTTTGTATATATACATTATATTAAAAATAGATCTGAATTTTGACCTTGGCCTCATGAAATTTTATTTTTTTTTTCTCTTCCAGTTTTATATTCACACATATTTTCATTCTATATAGAATTTCAATATAAA